AAATTTGTAAAAATTAAATTTTTGAGTGTTTTAAAAAAAAAGCTCATTTTAGTATATATTAGACATCATTATAAATAATTCATAAAAAATTTACATACCTGTGAACAGCAGTTTCTCAGAAAAGGTACATCGCACATTAAAATTTACATTTTGAGATAAATTGATTTTAATGTATACAGTGAGACTTCTAATCGGCTGGGAAATAAAACAATAAAAGGCTCAATTTAAAATAAAAGATACAAGTTTTGGTTTATATCGGTCGTTACACTTTTAAGTAAAAACAAAGTAATTTGTTTACAATTTTCGCCATTAAAATGGGCGTGGCCCAAATTCAACGAATATTTAAAAATACATTTTAAAGGCTTCTAAATACCCCAGAGGTTCAAGTAAGGTATTTTTAGAAAGGTTAAAATCTATACAATTTGAAAATGTAAAAATCTCAAATTGTCAAAAAAATAAGATTTTAGCTTTCCAACACCCCTTAAACTGGTTTTTATCTTAATATTGTTAAATTAATTATCAAATGCATGTGTAGCACTGGTACATTTATAAGTGTAATATATCAGTGTAAATGTGCATTTTATTTTTTTTTATTGTGTCAGAATGTATTTTGTTTGTTTTTTTCTCTTTCAGCAAATTAACAATTCTTTAATGCTTTTGTTTTCGACTTTTCAATATCCTCGCATCCCCCTCGTAGAGTTGTGATGCCCCCCACGGAGGGCGCGCTCCACAGTTTGAGAAACGCTGCATTAATTGCGTAAAAGGAAGCCGATCCTTCAGTGGAGACCACCGCACTGTCTTAGTTGTTCAATCTGCGTATGAAAATGTTTCAATCTCAAATAGCATTCATAAGCAATTATAATGAAGTAGAAATTATTAAGGATAGGTTTCCATTTTTTTTTTTTTGGTGATGCCATTTTTATCTAAGATCGCCTTGGTTTTGGTCTTCTTAATACACCTGAGAATTTCGGAAGGCAAAGTTAGCTTTAGAATGTGATTATTTTTGCTTGTTTAGAAATTACTCAAGTTTTGATTATATTATCGTCTAGGGGCTTATATGGTTTTCTGGAATTTTTTCGGGGAGTAGCTCTACTAATGAATCAGAATTTTTGTGTCAGTAATGGACTCATCTCTTGTTTTTTAAAGATTTATTGTAACTCCCTACACACATCAGTCCTGCGCGATGCTGAGTGCTTAAAATGTTTAAGGTTGTCTTCGGTTAATGTTAAACAATAGAACCAGAATTTGGAAAAATTTTTCAGATATAAAAGAAATGAAACATTAATATGATATTCTGGCTTCACTATCCTTTAGAGAGCAGCATTTTTTATCATACTTCCCGTTTTTAACCGAGTTCATTAATTTTTTCTGGTATAAAATGTGTTTCGCGTTTTTTCTACTATACTGTAATGTTAAATGGGCTATGCCTTCACGTATTAAAACAAAAAAAGAAAGTATTCATGGAATATTTTGGCATTTTTAAAAACACTATATTGTTTTTTCTGTCTGAAAATGTGCTTCGCGTTTTGTTCAAGAGCGCTCTCTTACTTTTACCGAAGACAGCCTTAAAATGAACTATTTTGGGAGATTTTTCTTATCTCGTGTATAATTTGAGATTGAATTACATTTATTTCGTTTCGATCCTAAGATCCGAAGTATTTTGAAACAGCCCTTTTTTTGGTTTATTTTTTAGTTTTCAATAAAGCTTCAATGTGGGTTTCATTGTTAAGTCAAGAAACTACACACGTGTGCAATACTATCGTAATTTTAACTATGTTGGATTTCAGAAAAACTAATGGACAGATTTTGATGAAATTCGATATGAATGTACATTCATAACACAGATGTACCATTCAAAAATCATTTTATGTACGCATAATTATCAATAAAATTCATAGTGGAGTATTGTCTAAAATCCATTTTATGTCATCGGACAGAAAATGAATCTAATATGGGTACGGTTCTCCCTCCCAACCAGACCCCACAGCGTGACGCATACTGGGCAGGAGGCAACTGAAGAATTACTGTGGTAGTTGTCTTACGCCTTCAACAAGGTAGATTTCATCTCAGAGATGGTTCTTGGAAAAGGATGTGAGAGGCTATTGCTCTCCCAAGGGCGTACTAAACATACTCTTTACGGTTAAGGTCAGGAGATCTGGATAGTCTGGATATCATCCCTTTCTAGGTAGCAATTGACTAGATGAGTCCTGTATGGACGAGTATTGTTGTCCAATCACAGAAATCCGAGACCAAATACGCCCCTAAAATGTCCAGCTTAGAACTCTAAAATCTCCTCTCTATGCCCTTCTCTCATATAAGTCCTGGCCACGATGGCCTAGTGGTTATGGTCACGAACTCGCTGGTTCGATTCCTGGTGTCACTGAAGGCCTCCTTTGTAGAAGGGGATGATGCACATTAAATTTGTAGGGCTCAACGTCCTTCCACTAGCGTGGTGTGGTAGTGTTTCGAGAGGGGTGCCAGCTCAAGTGTCATCCTCATCTCTTGACCGAGGCTCAACATTACAAAGTCCATCGACAATAACCTTCGTGTTGCTTTATAGCGTGATGCTAATATAATTCTCACTCCCTTTCTCTTAGAGGCCAGGGAGCTTTTGTAAAAATCATAAAAGGGTGTGTGGCTGTCCAGCATAATGCCTGCCCAAATCATCACACCTTCACCACCGTACTGATTTATTTACCTGTTAAGGGAGGGATAATATCGTGCCACAGGCTTTCTTCAGATACAGGAACGCCAAGAATTTGTTTCCAGGTTGAATTTCGACTCATCTGTAAAAATTATGCTTCACTGAAAGTTAGTCCAAGGAGCATGTTGTCTGCATCATGCTAAATGTGTATGCTACAGTAGGGTCTTCTGGAATACAGCCCTCTCTCATGAAGCCTTTGGCCAACTGTAAATTGGGAAACTCCGGTTCTAGAGGTAACATACAGCATATTTTAGAATTGTGAATGTAGCTGCCGTGTTGCTATACTGCTATTGCTAAATAAGATCTTAATTCATTGTTATGGATATTTGTACACCTGGTCGAGGTCTTCTCATAATGAATCAAGTATCCTGAAACTTTTCACACAAATTGCTGACAACAGTAGGTGCTACACTGAGTCAAAGCTCCTCAGACACGTATATGTATGCTTACGTATTCAACTCTAAATATTTGCAAGCTCTATTTCGGCATAACCAGAATGTTTAGTTCAAAAATTTCTGCAAAATAGACATAATTTGCAAATTATCTTAATTTTGCACTCAAGAGAATACTTGTGAACAAATAAGAAATCCAAAAGATTTCCTACTTTTTGATGCAGTTATTCAGAGAAGCTGTTATTGTGGATGAAAATCATACATGTAATCATTTCAGTCGATTAAAAACTAAGACGAAAATAAGTTCTATTACCTGAGCTTGGAAATCTACGAGTCTGGATGCATACAAACTTCGGTAAAACATTGAGAAAATGAAGCATTTGAATCATTTGCTTGAGCTGTTAGCGTTTCTGAAAGTCAAACGAAATGCATCAAGTCAATCATATCCAAATCTATTACACCCCTTCAGCGATTCTAATTATCATGCGTCGAATAATTAGATTGAAAAATATTCTAAAATAAATAAAAAAATTTTGCAAATGATGATAATTAGCAAACTTATTTTTCTGCTCCACTTCTCTTCACTACACGGATTGGGGAACTATTTAAACTTCATTGAAGTCATTTTTTTAATTGAGTCATTTATTACTTTAATGGTGAATGAACTGGATAATAATGAGACTGGTTCGTAGAGCGTGATTTGACAGACTAAGATCAAATCGTTTTGACGTCTTTACCGAGCTATTTTCATTTTTCTCCTTCCGGTTGCAGTAGTTGTTTGATCCCAATTCATGTCTCATAAATAAATTATTTTGTTTATAGCAATTCACCTACTCGAGCAATGCGCAGCGATTTCGCAATGACGGTGCTGGAACACAATGCACTATAAAACTTTTACGAAGGTCTTTGCTTACAGATTGCTATTATTATTAGAATGATGTCGCTTCTTTGTGTACGTGTAATGAATGAACACTTGTACTTTCAAGGTTATCTGTAAGAAATATGTATATTGACCTGTGTCATTTCAAAGTCCGTCTAGGTAATTTTTGTAACTACTTTCCTTTACGCGAACAAAGAAAACGCAAATTCATCATCAGCGTACTGTTTTACAGTTACGAATAAACTGACTGTGCAGTTTCTTAATATAACACAAAATAGGAAAACTGCAAGTTTTTTCCTTTACTCGGACGATCTTCATGCCCGATTATAATTTATAGTCTTTTAATATATTTCTTTGAGTGGATCACGATTATATGGAGAACAAGTAAAAAAAAATAATAATTAAGTCAATTCCTACTTGGGTCAACAAAGAAAAATTTTATTTTCGTTACGTTTTATTAAATAGTTACCATTAATATAAATATGTATCCGGCGTATAATACATAAAATAAGGGCAAAATTTACGAGTGCGCGTTATACGCCGGATATGAGAATGAGAGCTTTAAAAATAAAAAAGAGATAAGCATAGGAAAAAAATAGACTTCTACATAGATCAAAATACTATTTATTTAACAGAAATGACATTTTGTATTAACTTACAAGGCTGCAGTTCAAGAGGAGAATACTGCTTCTTTCTAAATCTTGGAATAATACCTCGAATGAATGACTTCAAAACGTAAGAGTATCGCATGCGTACATTTCAGGTTTCTTCGTAAAAAAGGGGGAATATACCTAAAAACTAAAAATCGCAGCTTGAAAGTATAGGTGCGCGTTATACGCCGGATTTTATGGTACATAAGATAGAATCACAATATTAAGTGGCAAAATAGAGAGTGATTTTCCTTGCAATTTTCCATTTTCCTTTCTATGTATTTTTGTTTGTTACTATTTATTCACATTCATTAAATTTAATCATTCCAATAAAATAGTATAGTAAAAAGAAATCACATTCTTAGAAATTAGGCCATCCCAAGTGAGATTCGAACCCATTACTTTTGAATTAGAAGTCCAACGCGCTATCCATTGCGCTACAGGGACACCACGAGCGATTTTCCTTTTTATATACATGGTGTTGGATTATTATCTTGGTTTTTTACAATTTATTCATTAATTAAATAGAATTAATAAATTTACATTTGAAAAACTGCATTAACATCAAGTGTCATCCACTGCAAGTTTAAAAAAATGTATTTGAACTTGAGTGGATGAATAAAAAGTATTTTATTAACGATTGAAAATTTGAGCAAGATATATATATATATATATATATATATATATATATATATATATATATACATATAGGGAGAGTGATCTAATAGGAATTGGTAAAAAAAAGAATATTATTATTTGTTAGAACCTGTACAGAAAAGATGCTCTATGGTTTCAACCTTTTTCTTTGTTGAGGTACACTATTATCAATTTCAAAATTTGGCGGCACATTAACAATAAAGTATGCTTAAAAAAATTTTACTTATCTATAATAAATACACCATGAAAAATATTTTATGAAGATAATTTTCAATGTTAAATAAAATAATATGTACGATGAAAAAAACAAAATGTCTATTGAGTAATTAATTTTAATTAAACAAACAAAATCATTTAATGCGAAATTTGAGCTTGATGAATTTTAATAATTTCGTTTACATTGGGTCGTAAAAATGAGAATTCTACCCTCTCTCTCTCATTTCGTCATCTACTATTAAAATTATCAATCTTGTTTTCGTTTTATATTGTGTTAATGCTGAAAATCCAAATTCACATAAATAAGATGCAGAAAATTATAACAATATTTTTAAAGTTATTTTGACTATTATAGGATAGTCGCCTCTAATTTTAATCCAAAATGAATTAATAGACTCTTCCGAATGTTTTGAAATTAAATATCGATTATTACAGAGCGAAATTAGTTCTTTCTCTTAATTGAAAATTAATTTACTTACAAATGTATCCGTTAATACAAATGGATTATGAACCCAATCAAATTTTCCATCTCTAAATTTGGGAAGTAATGAAGAAAAAAAACTCTCTCCTCTAGTGTTCTCAAATGTCAATAAAAGTTTTATGAATGGTTTATTTCTATAAAACGGCCGAATGATTCGGTTCTGGATTTTTTTCTCGGAGTATAATTAATAATTTTTAAAAAATTTGGCGGCATACTTCCAAGAATTTTGGGGCGTAATGGCTGAGAATCACTGGTTTAGAGATTAAAAGAAAAATTATTAAAAAAATAATTTCAAAATTTAATAATGCCACGAAGGAATGGTGCTCAAAGCTAAGGATAACGACAGGCGTAAAAATCTAGCTCTTCACCGCGATGAATTTCGTGAACTTTGATCTAATGTTACTGTCGATTAGGTGGCATAAGTAACAACAACAACAGGAGTTTGAACTTTCGAAAAATTGGAAAAGGACTTAGTTATGGTCAGATGATTTTAGACTCAAAGTTATTTTTCTATAATATAAATAACCAAAAGTGACGGTTATTGATAAGTGTGTGTGAGAGAGAGTGTGAATAGTACATCGAACATAGTAAACATTTCGTAATTCCAGCTCTCTCACCTCGCACCTCGAATCAGCCTCATCCAAGCTTTTTTACACGCTTTTATAACCTTCACTTGTATGTAACGGAATCTTTGAACTCTATTTTCACCCATTTTAAAAGGTCAGATTAATTCGAAATTTTTCACACTTGTCAAGGACCGATGACAATACAATAATTTCGTAAGTTTGTTCCAATGTCCTGATCAGAATCATCATGATTAACTATTTTCAGATTTGGCGACTAATTCCATATACCATTTCCAGATTTGGAGACCAATTCCAGATTTGGCGACTACTAAAAGTTATAACCCTAAGGAGAGGGTGCGTCAGCAATTTCTTATCATAATATAAACAATTGTCTAGTTCTTCTGAAAATGGAAATAAAAAAAAAAGGCTCGTGCCTGTGAAAAAAAAATAGAATAGAAGGTCAGTTGGCGAAGTAAGGGCGTGGCTACCACCGTAAAAGCCGTATCAATGATAGGGGGGGCCAAGTTATAGGGGCCCCAAAATGGGTAACTACAGTCCCACTAACAGGGCTCTTATATCTAAAAAAAGTACCGAAGGAATTTTGATACAGAGCCCACTCAGAACTAGCTACGCAAGTATCGTGAAGACAAATTTTTTGTGACTATGAGTGGTCGCCAAACTATCAACATGTATCTCTACAATTGTTCTAACAGATTACTAAATACATTTTCAAAAAAAAATCAGCATCAAGGAGAAATACAAATTCCAATGGTTTTAAAACTATCAATCATGTATTATAATAAAGTTCTAATCTCTTATTTTCTTTAAAAATAAAGAAAGAGGAATTACTAAATTAGAAAAGTATAGAAAATATCTCACCTTTGCTTGCAAGAGAACTTCCTGGAAAGGAGAGTAAGTTATCTTGGTGCCCACGATGAAAAAAAAAAAGCTTTGCTTTCGGATTGCTAGATTTGTGCATTTCCACCCGCATGAGCTCCACAAAGTAAGAATCGAATTGATTCAAGCGCAACCACATATTAATCATCATCAAAAAATTTGAATTACTTTCCTGAAACCAGCTATTCTTTCGTGCAGATCTTCTAATACGATGCACAATCATTCCTGTCTTTTGACATTACCAGATATATCCATCACTCAATTCTATTTTAACTTGCAGACCTAACATTCGACATATGCAGCACAATCAATCCTTTATCTTTACACCACTCTTCACTCATTCAGTTTCCCTTTTCAATTCAAATCATGAAAAAAAAAACCGAAATCACACTTCTTAGACATACCGTTTAGGATAATACGAAGGAACAAGTGCAGAAACAAAAAAACTAAATAGAAAAAAAAATTTAAATGAAATTTTTGAGAAACTGTGATACAAACTGTTTCCAACCAAGTGGTAATTCAAAACGAAAACGATAAGCTATATTTCTAGAAGAAAAAACAATAAAAATAAATTACCTGAAAATCGTCTGTTTTTTAAAAATACGCAGATTTTAAATTTCGAGTACCACGTGACCTTTTCGTCATCAGACCGTATTTTAAAGTAAAAGGGTTTCCAAATTAAAAGTCTTCCAGAATGAAATCGTTATCTCACCATGAAATGTAAATAAATATCGCCAAATCCAACTGTTTCCCTATTCTACACTCCAGCCTAAAATCTCATATTTTTCGTTTTCCATACGATTTTTTTAACATATACGGCTCCTAAAACGAATATTCCGATTACAAATTGAAACAACTTTATTATTTATGAAGGGAATTTAAAAAATTTTTAAGCACAAATCTATATATATTGTAACGTTTGAAAGAATAACGGTAGCGTATATTCTTGGTTAATTTAAATATGGAATTTATTTACGTCACAACTATTGAATATTACTTACAGAATGATACATTACAGTTATTAAAGTTAATTATAGATTGTTAGAGTCCACTATTTTGTGAGAGGAGGATTCGTTGGGGTTACCGCTCCCGTGCAAGTTCAAAGCATCTCTCCCCTCATCTTCCGGTCGACGAGCTAGATTCCTCGGGGTCAAAAAGGGGTTGCGTTGCAGGTGCAAGATGCACGTGTGGGTGTCGGGTACAACAAAAGATGCCGACTAGATGTTGATGTTCGGAGAAGCGACGTTACAGCTCTCGCCCTCTCTTATAGAACTTTTCCGTTGAGAAAAGTTTAATGGAATGACGATGAGACACAACTGACAGATTACCGACACATCCCTTCATCAAGCACCACTATATTTCTGAGCTGCAATTTTAACTACTAAAGAAAACACTGAACTAAATTTGGAATTACTTATTTCTAGTGAGTGAGTGTTCTTGCTAGGGAACTTACACAAATCCATATTACGAAAATGATCAATAGCAATGTAAGAAAACATACTATAACATTAAATAAAAATACAAACACTCCTATCACAATGCCTATTATCAATTATACTAACAACATGTTACATCAAATGCTAGTGTAAGACCTTAAACATAAAATATTCTTCGCCACGATACTTAATAAAAATTATACTAACGACATGTGTTGATATGATATGCGAAGGGTACAACCTTACACACACAATATTTTTCACAATATGCCTCTTGCGTAAACTAAATACTCATGTATAATTTAAAACCCTATACACAAAATTAAGCATATTAATACATTTGCTTTTCATGGCTTTATCTTTTGACACGCATCTCCATTCGATATGATATTCAGTACTAGTAAATAAATAAAATTAATACAATTATTAATCTTTAACTAAAAAAACATTATAAGCAACAATTATTATTCATGAGCAAGAGAACATTGTTAACAAGTCCTAATTATCTATCACCGATCTGCTGAGACTATCTGCATTTTTGTGACTTTTACCCGACCGATGTACAATTCTAAAATTATATGGTTGCAAAGCCAAAGCCCATCGCATCAATCTAGGGTTAGAACTAACATTTCTATTTAACCACACCAACGGGTTGTGATCGGTCATAACTAAAAATGAATTTCCATCTAAGTAATAATGTAACCTTTTAATTGCGAAAACAATACTAGCACATTCCTTCTCCGTCGTACAATAACGCTTCTCTACCTCTGAAAATTTCTTACTCAGGTAAAGGATTGGATGCTCCTCACCTTGTTCAGTTAATTGTGATAAAACTGCTCCCATACCTGCGTTTGAAGCGTCCGTTTGAACAATGAATTCTCGTTCAAAATTTGGCGCGTACAAGACGGGCTTATCAATTAGTTTCCCTTTTACTTCTCGAAATGCGTCTTCACCCTCGGTCGTCCACTTAATTTCTCCCTTCTTTGCTCTTCCCTTCAACGCGTCCGTCAACGGAGTAGCGATTACCGAGAACAGATTTATATGTTTTTGGTAATAACTCGCTAAACCTAAGAAGGCACGTATTTGAGTTTTCGTGCGAGGGGTAGGGAACTCTAGAACATCCTGAACTTTGACCTCGGAAGGGGTGCGAAAACCCTGACCCACAATGTGACCCAAAAATTTGACATTTTGTTG